GAGGCAACTGGACTTTCAGAAGTTCCAGGAAGGCTCCACACCCATTTGCACCACTCAGATGACCCTGAGGAAACAGATAAACCTTCAGGTGACCTTAACGACTTGCAAAAAGAATGCAAATGACCAGCTGTCTGCAAGGAGTATAAATCCTTCCATTCCCCACCATCCACTCAGAGTTGAAGAAGCTTCTTGCATGAGAAGAGAAACGTCTTCAAAGAAAAAACAGAAAGTCCAGTTGCCTCTTGAAAAAAAAACTCCTTTGGGACAATCATGACCTGGATGACTGAGAGTCTCCATAGACAATGAGAGGTAACATGTCCTTGAATAATATCTAGTGTCTGGGAATCCTGTACATCAGACTTCCCACCTGGCGCTCCTTGTTCTACTGGACTGTTAACTCCTATCATGCTGGTCAGCAAAGCTATGGCAGAAGTGACCACTGGGTTTTTAGAGAATAAAAAGGATGACCTTGATAGAAAGAGGGAAGATCTATTACCAAGGCAATGAGCAGATAAAGGTTGCTTGAGACCAAACAAGGAAGGGATATGAAGACATATCAGATAGACCTCCCTGAATTCACATACAGATAAAAGAGGACTGAGAAAAAGCATTCTGTATGCAGATTTGTGAGACCCTGTTACTATAGTTGATCTTGACAAAGGTAGTTTAAGGCATATGTGATAGCTCTGGCCTACCCTGTGTAGGGCTGACAGACTGAAAGGGAAAATCTTTTCTAGGAACTCAAGTGCGAGGAGGGAATCCATTGCAGAAGAGGCCAGCTGCTCCAAGCATTTAATTAATATATTGCATTGTTCATTCCATGTTCAAGGGTAACATTCCCATTACGGCAGTTGTCCTCAAGCTGGTGTGTCCCCAGATGAATCAGACAGCAACTCCAATAAGCTTTGTAGCTGTTCATTCAAACTATCTGGATGGGGCATCTGTTTAGGGAAGATAGCTCTAATTCACCCAGCTAGATTTACCTGGATGCATTTAATATCATTAGGCAGGGCTCTAATCTAATGTCTATTTCAGATCCTTATCATGCAGCAGTGTAAATGATGCTTTGCAGTAGCTTTCCAAATCTAGTGCTTTCCAGGTGTGTCGGGATCACAACTCTCAGGATTCCCATTTAACGTGGTCTAACATTTCTGGTATGCCTCAGCTGTTTTAAAGAGTTCTTTGGGATGGGAGTAGTTAATTAAATCTATAAGTTGTATTAGAACGCATCTGGTCGACGAGACAAAGCAGTTCTCAAAGAATCTTTGTCTGACTCTACGCCATCTGTGGTGTCTAGAACCAGGCACTATTAGCAAAGCCTAACTTGCTTTCACAATAGTCTTCAACTCAGTCAGGTAGAGGCTGAAACAGGGGGCAGATATTCAGGACTAAAAAAAAAGACCCCTCTGAATCCAGGCATTTGTTTTGAGAGCCAAAATAGAGCTGAGCTCACAGTCCTTCATGAAATGAATCTTTCTTGGTTTCAACAGGATTTGCTTACGGTATGGTATATATAGTTCACCCTCAGGTCTTTTACTGGTAGATCTACCTTTGACTTTTGTCTATTTTAGATGATCAGAATTTGTCCTCTGAGGGCCTTTCCCCACTTAAGCCTAACTGTAGTACGAACAAATCTTTCTTCTGCCCTGCGCCCGTGATGTTGCCTTCGTCTCATCTTCATCTCGTGAGTGTGCCATCCTTCTCTGAACTAGTATTGGAGTAGTATTTTTTCCCCCTTTATTTCAATGTTGCCCAAGCATAGTCTCAAGATTCATAAAATCTATTGGTGTTTGTCACGGATTACCTCTGTAATCAGAGGGAAGTTAGGGGACTGCAGTGATTTGCAACAAGGGCCAGAGAGGCAAGATCGGAATTGGCAAGGAGAACAGTCAGTTTCACGACAGGGAATGCAGGAATGCAGGACACCAGTGCAGGAATGGGCAGAACTCACCAGCAGAGAAAGACCATCTCTAAGAATGGCCATAAAGAGGTCATAAGGAAGATATCCTTTGGCTATGGACTGTTGTCGGAGTTTGTAGCAATCCAGCCAGCACACAAGCAAATAATTCAGCAGGATTCATTATATAGAAGAAACTTCTTTATATACAATAATATAAAACATGATGCATGTATACAATACCCATGCAGCTCTTGCAACATGGTAGAGAGAAGAAGAAGCAGCAAGTACTCTCAAGCAAAGACAAACAAACTCTCACAGCACAGAACAGTTAAGCTAAGCCACATCCAGGCTCCAAGCCGGCTCACATGGCTCAGACAACAAATCCTGTGTCTCAGTCACCAAACAGTTCCCATTGGCTGACTCGTTGCTATGGCTATTCCAGTTCATAAATTCTTATACACTGACAAGTGTCAACTTCCGAGACAGAGCGCCGTTCAAAGTTGCCACAATGTACCGTTTTGGAGTTGCCACACACACGGGAAGGGAGTTGCATGGGTGGGTGTTGGGTGATGGGACTCACGCTGGGAGAGAAACCAGGAAGGCAAGCCAGCTGCGGTCACTTCAGAAGCCATCCAGGCCTGAAGAGTACTTGTTGGAGCTGACCAGAAAGCAACCAGGCTCGAAGAGTACTTGCTGGAGCCAGCCGGGAGCAACCGGGAACAGGAGGGCGGGGCGTGCCGAATCCGTATATCCAGCTGGCTAGCAGAAGCCAGTAATGCTGGCTAGAAACCCTTTTACTTGTATTGTTCACCACATGCTGAGCCGAGACTCCAGTAAAGAGACCCGTTCTGCTCAGAGTGTGGCCTCTTCTTTTGCTGGCTTGGCTTGGAACCGTGACATGGAGAAGGCAATGAGGGAATGTTCTGAGTGGCTTCCTCCTCTGAATCTCCCTCCAAGCACTGGGACTCCATGTCAAGGTCTATAGCAAGAAGAATACCTGTCAAATTCCATGGAAGGCATTTTTATACACCAAAGAATTGACAACCCTACTCAGAAAGGAATCACTGTTTCAGCCTGGCTTATTAATGCTGTGCTAGCACCCAAGTTGGTACCCAAATTTGAAATGAGGGAATATGGGTTGAACAAACTGGACTACAGCTTTGAAAAGACTCCTTTCTGCCCTTCCACAAATGATCTGCTGGGCCTGGGGTGGAAAAACAGAAGAGGATAAACCTACAACTTGAGTAGCTCATCATGGTAGCTTAAAGGCCCTGTATCCTATCATCAGGCATGAATCCAGGGCTCAAGAGAAGGGAACAGTATGCACAGTACAAAGGTACCTCCCCCCTTCCCAGTCTGGGAGGGGTTCTTGTCTCTTTTCTTTGTGATATTTTTAGCCTCCTTTTCAGCCAAAAATTGGCTCCCCAAGCTTCTCACAGCAATTAGAAGGCAACACAGTTTGCAGTCAAAGGGAGCATCTCAGATGGAGCTGAAGGCACAGTGGAAAGGCTGCCTTTCTCCTGACCCTCCCTCAGGGGCAATTGCTGGGGAGGGGGATTGAAGAAAGCCACCCCTCATTTTGCTTTTTATTGTGATCACATCTCCTAAGTGCTATTTGGGAGCCTTTAAGCATAGGAGCTCTCTGCTAGGGAAGGATAAGCTTTTTCCTTCCCTTTAGAAAACAAGGCAATTTGATCTGAGGAACCCCTGAATTTGCAGGATCTTTCAATCATGTGCTTTTTTTAAAAAAGTGCCTTTCTAGGTGGCCTCAGACTGTTAAATTTGCTCTGAAAGGCAGGGAGCAACCTTGACTTGGGCTGTGAAGCTCACCCAAGAATACCTGGATAATAGAACAGAACAGAATACAATATCAGAGTTGGCAGGGACCCTGGAGGTCTTCCAATCTAACCTCCTGCTGAAGCAGGAAATCCTATATCATTTCAGACAGATGCCTGTCCAATCTCTTCTTGAAAACCTCCAATGTTGAAGCACACACAACTTCTGAATGCAAGTTCATTCCACTGATTAATTGTTTTCACTCTTAGGAAATTTCTCCTTAGTTCTAGGTTGGTCCTCTCCTTGATTAGTTTCTATCCATTGCTCCTTGTTCTGCCTTCAAATGCTAGGTTGACCCCCTCTTCTTTCTGGCAGATATTGGAACAGATTATTCGGGAATTGTATTTGAATTACCTTTGAATGTTTTAATGTTTTAATTTACTAGGGGTATAAATAGGGGTGTTATTATCTGCTTAGAGTATCTGAACTAAAGTGACATATTTATTTAATCCATTAACACATACTTGAATATATGTTACCTATGTCTAGTTTGGCAGGTGTGATCAGTGTTGACTGTTTTCAAAATTCTCTTATTCTGTCTTGCAACAATAAGGAACATTCCTGGAATCCCTCCCTGCCTTGCCTCTTTCTTGACCTGGCCTACAATGAAGGGCTTTATTTATTTATTTAGCGTATGGCAAATACATGGATTTATAGCAGTTCAATCAGACATTGGACCGGTGTGAGCTCTTGATGGACATTCGGACACAATGTGGTGGATATTTTGTCAAGGAGCACCGCAGTCACACCGGGAGGGTTGGGGGGGGTAGAGACAAGACCCCACTTAAACAATGAGTCCTGGCAGACACCATGTTGGGTACGGATCATGAGTTGACCAATGCTGGCGAGGAAGATCAAAACCTGGCAGACCCTTCTTCCACACGGTATTGTATGCTGCAGTAAGGTCGATGAACACTGCTGTGGTTTTTAAGCTTTGCTGGAAACCAGCCTCAATATGTCCAGTTAAGCTCAGCACCTGATCAACACAACTGCCAGTGTTTATCTGTTGCCATCAGTGGTGATTTTTTACCGGTTCGCCCCGGCTCAGGTGAACCGCTAGCGGAGGTAGCGGGAGGCTCCGCCCACCCACCCGGACATCATCACAGATGGTCTGCACATGTGCAGAAATGCCCCCCCCCCCCCGGGCGCTCACAGTTCCAACCAGGTAGCGAAGGTAAGTGAAGCCCACTACTGGTTGCCATGTATTTAGAGAACCAGGAGTTCTACAAAGACGTCTGGCTGCCAACTGTCATTAACTGCCAATTCTTCAATGTAGTCTGGCTGCCACTTTTGCTAGTCATTTGGTTCACACTACTGTGCTATCCAGGATGCACCACAAGGAGGCGAACTAGCATCACACCCCAGTGAAGGGCTGACAACTCTCTATATAGGTAGTCCTTGCTTAGCAATAGTAACTGGACTGGAATTTCCATTGCTAAGTGACACAGTTGTAAAGTGTGATGTGATGTAAGCATGTCACTTAGCAATGGCAACTCTGGCAAACCCTGCTTACCATTATTAAGTGAATCACCATGGTCATTAAACAAGGACGTCACATGACCACAACTCCTGACTTTCTGCCAGCTTCCCCATTGACTTTGCTTGTGGAAGGAATGCAGGGAAGGTCACAAAGTGAGCCATTGAAATAGTCAGAAACTCGGGTTGGTTGCTGAGTACCTGGACCGCAATCACATGACTATGATTAATATAGATATGTATATATATATCTGTGTGTGCATATATGTACGTATGTACGTATGTATGTATATATGTATGTATAGAGAGTATATGTTTGTGTGTGCATGTCCATGTATGGGTATATATTTATTTTCTTTTGACAGCGAGCATCAGAATTTCATTTTTAATGTGTGCCAGTGTGTCAATAGAAAAAAATGGCTATAAAAGTTATCCTATCCTATCCCATCCCATATCTTATTTCTTCTATCATCTATCTTATCATCTTATTTGTTCTCCACTCTCAGACTAGAGAAGAATGTTAAAAAAGGATGCTGCCTGGGATATTGCCTCACAAAATGCCTAGGAGATTGACTTCAAGAAATAACCCTGAAAATAACAGGGTGGCTTCTGAAGCGCAAGCAAGCATCCTAAGATACATTCCCCAAGTCTATCCCAGTAGAAGTGCCAAAAATATTCAGAAATACGGAGATGTTTGTTTCTTATGTATAGAGGAACTCAATAAATGTTAATCCTGAAATGTTTTCAGTTAACCAGATCAACATAGGACCATCTGTGTGTACTTTCCTCAATTCATGTCATACTGAGTAACAGCCAATAAAAAGAATCCCAAAACAGAAACCTTCCTTCATTTGCAAAAGATGTTTATTGTTTTGCTATTATTAATTGAACACAAAAAAACCCCAACTAAAATATAAAAAACCCCACCAATCCCAAGATGGGGAAAGGAAACTTTTCAGAAAGAAGCAAAAGCATACAGGGCACATATTCTTGGAGATTTATTCATTTCATATTTGCCAGCCTTTGTGTGCATTGAGGTATTTTTCTATTTTTGTTTCAGTTTCCCGAATTCACCCCTTTCATCATTCGTCACCACCAACATATACACACAAAGTGACTCATCTATTTTCTTCCCATTTGGCTGATTTCCCTTACTTTATAGTTTTTATTTTCTTGCTTAAGTGATTCTGCCTGGCATCACTCTGTCCAGGATCAGAAATACCTAGTTGGTGTGTCTGCCAGAAATCTTTTCCATATCTTCCATAAACATTAGATGACTTAAAAGAAAGGAAGACCTTCCTAATATAAATATGGTCATTTCCATCTTTGGGATCAAATTACCTTAGCGAATGAATTCCCCAAGCCATGATGCAGTGGGGTGAGGGTGGGAATTAAAAATGTTACAAAAATTTCAATTCTAGAGCAGTTCAAGAAAAACAGAATGTTAATCCCAACAAGAAAACTTTTCAGTGCCTGGAAACCCCTTATGGGCTTTTTACTGAAAAAAGAAAAAAAAGAAAAAAAGAACTTGCAATTTAGGGGTTTGACTATTAGAAAGGGTAGCTCTCAGAAGAAAGAAATTGTGATGTAACCTTTAGAAAGAGAGGGTAAAATACAAATGCATTTATAACCATTGTCAAAAAGATCAGAAGCTTCTTGATATATTTTTTCTTTTATTTTCTTGTTTCTTACTATATACTTACTATAATTTATTTTTGTTTTTCTAATATTTGCTTTTATCTTGCTAAAAATTTCTTCAATAAAAATTATATTAAAAATGTTGATACAATCTTTAAGAGTGAGGCAAGTCTGCTTTTATCTGCTCCAAAGAAGATTGGAAGTTGCTTCTTTCTATATCGTTTCTTTTTCTAGTAGTACTGTTTCTTGTGCTTTTTATCTTTTACCTTTTTCATAATTCTTTTTATATTTTCATGTTTATATTTGTGTGTGTGTGTGTGTGTCTGTGTCTGTGTCTGTGTCTGTGTCTGTATGTGTACTTGCATTGCATTGCATTAGGCATCAAGCTAAAAAGTAGGACACTGTGACTTTTAGGCCTGCCATAGACATGAAAGCTGACTGGGTGATTTTGGGCCAGTCCCTCTCTTTCAGCCCAACTCACCTCGCAGAATTGCTGTTGTGGAAAAATAAGTGGAGGAAGGAGTAACAGGTACGCTTGCCACCTTGAGTTACCTATAAAGATGAGATAAAAATCAAATGAGTAAGTAAATAAATTAACAACAGCTCTCTGTGTCTGTGTAGGCGTGGGTGTATGTTTGTATGAAATAAAGAATAAAAAACAATGTTGGATAGAATACAATGAAGCCTTTAGAGACTAAATCAAAATATCAGCTACTGCCACAGATAAACCAGGGATTATAATTGGGTTGATTCCATCACTTTCCTGAAGATTGTACTGTAGGCGTGTCAAATCAACTAGTTTTTAGCATCTGCTGTATCGAGCAGGGTAGTATGAGAGAAAATAGCTGAAACACGGCTTCCTTCCCTCTAGGGCAGCTGCTTCTTGGCAAGCTGTCATCAATCCGAACTTCTCTGTGGCAAGGATCCACAATCTGTTGTCTGCTGAGGATGCCCTCAGCTTTTGGTGGCACGCTAGGATGCACATTCCAAAAAAGAAGAGGTGCCACAAAAAAGAAGCAAAATAGGCAAAGCTCACTGAACTTTCAGTATCCAGAATTTTTTTTTTTTTGAGGGAGATGAGTCTTTGCATATCGTGTCCAAAATACGATTATTTCAGCCTAGTTATAAGTAGTCCTATAGGAAGGGACCTTGGAAGTCTTCTAGTCCAACCTCCTGCTCCAGTGATGGAGCACCCACACCTTCTGAAGGCAAGCTGTTCCACTGGTTAATGATTCTCACTGACAGGAAATTTCTCCTTAATTCCACATTGCTTCTCCTTGATTAGTTGACATCTAATGTTTCTTGTCTTGCCTGCTGGTGCTTTGGAAAATAAGTTGAACTGGAATTGAGGAGAAACTACCTAACAGTAAGGACAATTAACTGGTGGAACAGCTTGCGTTCAGACGTGGGTGCTTCATTACTGAAGGTTTTTAAGAAGGGACTGGGCAGCCACTTGTCTGAAATGATATAGGGCAGTACTGGCTAACCTTTTCTGGACCGAGTGCCCAAAGCGCCCGAACCCCCCAAATGCAATGTGCGCACGGCCCCTCAAATGGACAGTCACTTGTCTGAAATAGTATAGGGCAGTGATGGCTAACCTTTTTGCCATCGTGTGCCAAAAGCGGGGGAAGCGCAGGGGGTCATGCGTGCGCTCCCACACCCATAATTCAATGTGGCCCATCCCCCCGAACTCCCCCCACTTTTGGCACGCGATGGCCCAGTGGGCCCAGTAGGCCCGTTTTTCGCCCTCACCAGGCTCCAGAGGCTTTCTAGGAGCCTGGGAAGGGTGAAAATGGCTTTTTTCACCCTGCCGGAGGCCCTCCGGAGGCTGGAAACGGCCCATTTGCTGATTTCTGGTGGGACCAGAAGGCCCGTTTTTCACTCTCCCCAGAGCCTTTCCAGAGCTTTTCTAGGAGCCTGGGGAGGGCAAAAACAGCCTGCTCCACCCCCTTGGAGGCCCTCCGGAGGCCAGAAACTGCCTGTTTCCTGACTTCCGGTGAGCCCGGAAGGCCCAAAAATCAGCTGGTCAGTGCGTGCAGACGCGCCAGACCTGAGCTAGGGCAACGCTCACGTGCCCACCGAAATGGCTCCGCGTGCCACCTGTGGCACACATGCCATAGATTTGCCATCACGGGTATAGGATCTCCTGCTGAGCAGGGGGCTGGTCTAGAAGACTTCCAAGGTCCCTTCCGTTCTGATTCTTTGTAACAGCTCCTCAAATACTGGAATATTGCTATCATGTCACCCCTAGTCCTTTTCTTTAGACTGGCCATACCCAGTTCCTGCAACCGTTCTTCATATGTTTTAGCCTCCAGTCCTTTAATCATTTTAGTTGCTCTTCTTTGCACTTTTTCCTCAAAGTCTCAACATCTTTTTTGTAATGGATGCAGTATTGTGATGCATGCTCTACCTCTGGCTTGCATCACGTTATATCCACCACCTCAGCTGTTTTGAAATCAACTTTTGTGGACACTGCTGAATATATAAGAATTGGATAAAGGTCACGCCCTAGCTGATCCCTACAGTCAGTTCCTTCCATTGCCAATGAGATTTCTGAGGCTTAAAATGCTGGCAAAAACAAAATCCAGAAGATGATTTTAGCACAGGATGCCCCCCATTTTCTATAACTCCTCCAAAATAGCCAAATTTAACATCAAGTAAACCCAGCCACTCGGCTTTGCTCAGAATGTACTCTTAAGATTCTTTTAAGGGCAGCTTAAAGCAAATTCCTGTAGGGCTGTGGCAGCTGCCTCTAGATATGCAGACCACAGCAACTGTCACACTGAACTAAATCTCTCATTGGTTGTGTTACCTGGATATAATGGGAGTTCTAGACCACAAATCTGAGCCTCTAGTTGGGGAAGCTGACGGCAAAATCTGGAATGTTCGAAAGACTCTCCAATTCTTTTTTAATTCAGAAACGAAAGAGAGTAGACGGGCGCCCCTGTGTGGTAAAACGGCAGACTTCGAACTTGGAAGCACTGCATTGGAAAGGGTATCAGAGCCCAACTCCCTGCTCAGTGCAGAAAACTAAATGAAAGCCTCCCGCTGGACAGATAGATGATGTAGTCCAGTCCAGTGATAGGCAGGCCATCAGCTTTCTGAGCAGCTGATTCCATGATTAAAGTACTTACTGTTCAGAAGGTTTTTTTTCTAGCATTCATTTAGAATTTGTTAGTTATTATGTTTCATAACATAAATCTATTACTCCACGCCTTGCCTTCTGGAACACCACAAAATATATCTTGATCTCTTGTGTGTAATTTCCTCAAAGGTATTTGCTGCCATAGCCCCTTTTCAGTCTTCTCAAGCCTAAAGCACCCACCAACATCTCTATTTAGGACTGATGATCCTTATTACCATTCTTGTTTTTAAAACTTGATGCCCAGAATTAGGATCGAAAAGTAAAGAGGATTAAAGTGGAAAAATTACTTGTGCGGTTTTGGAAATTAATACTTCCGTTGATGCAATTGATACTTGCATTGATACTTTTTTTTTATCCCTATCATACTATTGATTCATATGCAATTTACAGTCAAATACTTTTCCAAGCATTTTTTTACAAGTAGTGTTACTAAGCAAGCTATGCTCCACCTGTAGCCTACACTTGATTTTTATAGCCTCAAGGAAGAATTTTACATTTCTTTTGGTTATATTTTATTTAGCTTTCAGGTGGTTTTCTTAACCTATCAATATGTTTTTGAACTGTAACTCTTTCTGCTAAGATATTAATAATGCCATCCATGTTATGACATTTGCAAATCTTATTTTCCTCTGCCTCTTCAGATAAGAGATTAATATTGCAGAGTAGAGGGCCCAGAAGTGAAGCATGTGATCTTGTGCGCAAGCTTGATCCACAATCATTAGCAGAGCATTTTTTGTATACATTTGGAACCAACTACCGGTATGTATACATTGAATTGTCCTAACATGTGGCACATCTTTAGCTTGCCTTGTAATCAGAAGGCCATATTTTGCTAAAACAAAGATATATTACATCTGTAACATTATCATAAGGTGTTAAGAGAAGTTACCGAATAAAAAAAAATAGACAAAATTAGTCTACTGATGTTGATTCTTGACAACTTCATGCTGACTTCTGTAAATTCCTATTATATTAGTTTCAAAGGATGCACAATTCATTGTTATTAGGGTGGCTTCTAGAAGCTTCTGAGTTACTGCTGTCAGAATAGTCTACATTGCTGGATCCTCTTTGTTGTATTTTTGAAGAGAAAGACAACACCTGCTTTCCTCTAGTTAGCTGATAGTTTATCAGTCCTCAAGGCTATCTGAATGGTAATACATAAAGCTTTGGCCAGACCATCAACTAATAGTTAGAATGCTGTTTATAGGTCCCTGGAGAATTAAACTATTTTTTAAAAATGTATTCCGTGATCTTGGGGGTCAAATCCACCTAGGGTTAAAGTTAGGTTTCCATAAATTCGGAAAACAAAATGGACATCGCCAACGGATTAGGAATCCTTGATTATGGTTAGGATGGTGCCGACTTTTTGAAAAGTCGCCACCCTCCTAAGTATAATCGAGCACTCTGAATCCACTGGTGATGTTCATTTTGCTCTCTGAATTCATGAAGAACTAACTCTAAGCCTAGATTAATTTGCACACCAATGTGATTTTCCCATGTATTTACCAGGAAACGTAGATAAGGCTGACTTGAAAAGTCGGCACCCTCCTAAGCATAATCAAGCACTCCGAATCCATTGGCAATGTCCATTTTGCTCTCCAAATTCATGCAGACCTAACACTTACCATGGGTGGATTTGCCCCCAAGAGGATTTTCTCATGTAATTTACCAGGAAACACCAATGGATTTGGAGCACATGATTATGCATAGTATGGTGCTGACATTTCAAGCCTGGCTTATCTAGATTTCATGGTAAAATGCCTGGGAGAATACCATTGTGGGCAAATCCACTAGGTTTAGGGTTGAATTCGGAGAGGAAAATGGATATTGCCAGAGGTGGGATTCAGCCGGTTCGGACCAGTTCAGATGAATCCGTTGCTATGATTTTGCGCAGTTCAGAGAACCGGCTGATCGCATTACTGGCTGGCCCTGCCCGCCCTGCCTCTCCCAGTCACCCTTTATCTTGCCTTGCCCGCCTTGGCCACTGCCTAGAGTCACGCCCAGCTGCTCTCTGGCTCCTTCACTCACCCGCTTGCCCAGACCACACGGTCCCCTCGGCCCAGATGATCTCTGCATATCACCCACTCTTGCTCACCGCGGCTGCCCATGAAGGTAAAGCGCTTGGCCAAAGAGCCACCTCGGGGTGGACACAGCAAGGTTCGGCCGCCTTTTGGGCCTGGCTTTCGCCATCCTTCTGCCCACATGCCACCCACTCACCCTCCGCCTTGGGTTGGGGGTACATGCCAGTTCCTGCCTCTCACCTTCCATGGGGCCTGAAATGAACTTTTCTTTGAATCCTGGATGGCCAAGCGCTGCACCATCTTTCCAGTTGTCCTTTGTATTCCCTGCCACCGCCGTCTGCTGCCTTTTGCTGGTCCAAGCTAAGAAACTTTAGTTTACTTCATGAACTTTGCTCTGCTGACTTTCTGTCCTTCTGTCCATTAAATTTCTCATCCTCCCTCAGGCTCTAGGCCCGATTTAATGAGATGAAGCAGACACGCCGGGTGGAGAGCTGTTTTTTTTTTGGCTTGAGATTGGCTGCCACAATGGAGGTTTCATTAAAAGTCCTTTTTAAAAAATACGGCCATCCCCTTCTTCACACGGGATCGCCCAGCAGCGAGGAGAGAGAGGGAGAACGGGGCGGCTACTTGCAGAGAGGGGAGTGCTTCTGGGACAAGGGGAGCAGGGAAGAGAAAAGGTAGCTTGCAAGAGCGGACACAGGAGAACAAAGCAAGCGAGTGAGTGAACCTTTGGCCTGCCACGTGGCCTTTTTATTCCCCCTTGCTCCCAAGGCAGCCAGGTAGCACCCGTCTCCTCGTGTGACAAGCGACCGAAGGGCCTTCTCGGCAGAAGCGTTGCCCTCATTCAGATTCCCGCCTCCCTCTGGTGGCCCTCAGCCGAGCGCGGCTGCCCCACCAACCGAGGAAAGAAGTGGACCTGCTTCGGCGACACTACCACCACCTCCACCCAAAATCTCATTTCAACATTTCATCTTGAAATGTTTATTTATTTATTTATTTATTTATTTATTTATTTATTAAATTTTTATACCGCCCCCTCTCCCGAAGGACTCGGGGCGGTGAACAGCCAAGATTAAAAAACATACAATATAAACATTAAAATACAGTTAAAACAAAATTAAATCCAAAATGGCTCCCCAATTTAAAATGCCTTGCCCATAACCCTATAATTAAAACAAATTTAAAATTTCCACATTCCACGTTTCTTGAAAGTCACCCCAAAGGGGTAAGCAAAGTAGGCTCTTTATCCTATATTCTCATTAGGGGTAGTCCTCAACTTATGGACACAACTGAGCCAACGTTTCCAAGCAAGATTTAAGTGAGTTTTGCTCCATTTTGTGATTTTCCTTGCCACCATTAAGTGATGTTCAGTAGTAGTAAATAAATAGAGACTGTATCTTGTTGAAGCCTTTGAGGCGAGCAGCCGAGGGGCGGGGCCGGGCATGGTGAGTGACGGCGAGTTGGCCATGACCACCCAGTCACATGACCACCTAGACACGCCTACTCAGCCTGTCATTAGGGCAGAGTTGTTAAATTATTTGAATCCCACCACTGGATATTGCCAACGTATTCAGAGCCTGTGATTATGCTTAGGAGGACACTCCTTTTTGAGCATGGCTTATCTATGTTTCCTCGTAAAATACATGGAAAAATCCATTGCAGGGCAAATCTACCTAGGTTTACGGTTAGGTCGCCATGAATCCTGAGTACAAAATGGACATTGCCAATGGATTAGGAGTACATGATTATGCTTAGGAGGGCGCTGACTTTTTGAGCCTGGCTTATCTACATTTCCTGATAAAATACATGGGAATATCCCCTTATGGGGAAACGTCATCTAGAGTTTGGTCTCCATGAATTCAGAGAGCTAATTGGACATCACCATGGATTTGGAATGATTGATTATGCTTAGGAGTGTTGTGACTTTTCGAGCTTGGCTTATCTTTGTTTCCTGGTAAAATATATGGAAAAATGATTTTGTTTCTGCCAATTCTGTGTTTCAGTCACTGCAACTTCTTTCTGCTTTCTACAAGATGTTGGTGGAATACCTGTGTTCCTGTTGGTAAAGACTAAATGAAAATAGGAGCTGAGTAGGTCTATCTTTTTCTTCATCTAGAAGAACAATGTTGCATTGAAATAATTTCCTTCCTTTGGTCAGAATCATCTGACAAATCGTTCCATACTATTTCAACAAGAGTCTGCTAGATCTTGTGCCAGCCTGGCTCAATGCAGAGATATGCCACCAGGAGGAGCTGCCACGTTAAATGTGTATGAAAGGCAAATATTTCACTGCCAACTCATCCTCTGCCTAAGCTGTAGGAGTGAACTGGGTTTGCTACCTGACACGCTGCAAAGTGAGGACTATTTTAAGACTGTAACCTATGTGTCAGCACATAAAACTATTTATTTTATTACATTATGCTGTATTGCATTGAATTTATGTCATATAATTGTAGATAGCTTTGTTTTTCTAAGCATGCTGTTTCTTGAATTCATGCAACGCATCCAGACCAAACTTGTTTGTTTGTTTTGTTTTATTAAATTGAAATGAAATGAAATGGGAATTTAGCTATGGTGTCTGATTGCCCAAATTATTCCAGTGATACTTTGTACAAATTACTTAGTTGACAAGCCAAAATAGTGGCACTGAAATGGCATTTCTAAAAGAACAGCAAAACTGGATAACATCTCAAACCATACTAGTTACAGTTGCTTCAATTAATTCAATGGTGCATTTCCAATAAGGAAGTTGGAGGGGAACGATACAAATTATATTACAGTATTGTAATATAATATAATATAACTTTGGCAACTTTAAGATCTGTGGACTTCAACTTCCAGAATTCCTCCATCAGCCCTGCCAAGGTTGCCATGCTAGGACATTCCTGCTTTAGGATCTCTTAGTGAAGTCCCAGCCAAGCACTAAGATCTGGCCCTGCTTAGCTTTTTTAAAGACCAATCAGGTTTGGCCATGGGCTGCCACTTTAGCCCTTACCTAACCTGGGGAGTCAGCCACCCATTTTTAAAAGAGGTTAACAGTGGTACTTCATGCAAACATCCAGCAAATATGTTTTAATCATGGAAAAACACTGTAGTGGTGATGGCTGTTTTTATCACAGTACTGATAAAGGCAGAGGATCTGTTTGGCTACAGGTGGCAATTCTACTCCTCTTATAGTATTTGAACTATCCACAGAATGGCAATAGAGCAGCAGCTATCCTAATGTTGCTCTTCAGGTTCCAGAACTTCCTAGAAATGTTTCCATGACAGCCTCTCTAAGGCATAGGCTTTGGAACACAATGTTTACATGAAACACTTAAGCTGATGAACCATATTTTAGCCTCATGTTTCTCAACCTCACAGACTTTAAAGCAGTGGTGAAATCCTCCGCCGGTCGCCACCAGTTCGCTGCCCGTGCATGCATGGTGCGCGCCAGATGCATGCTGTGCACACGCATGCACAGTGCACACCAAACATGCACTGCGTGTGCATGTGCAGTGTGCATCAAATATACACTGTGTGTGTGCACATGCACAGTGTGTGACAGACGCACGCTGTGCATGCGCATGCACAGTGCACACCAAACATGCACTGCGTGTGCATGTGCAGTGTGCACCAAACATTCACTGTGTGAGCATGTGCAGTGTGCACCAAACATTCACTGTGTGTGCATGTGCAGTGTGCACCAAACGCGCACTTTGCACAGAAAAAGGAGCCATTTAAAGGTAAGTAGAACAGCGAGGGGGGCAACAGCTGTGCCGCGTGATTAAGATTCGCTAGAAAGCATGTTTTCCTGCTTTCTAGCGAATATAAATTGTGCGGCACAGCTGATCATTGGAAATACCGGTTTGGACCAATCGGTAACTTTTTTTTTACTACAGGTTCATTGAACTGGTAGATTTTATCACTACCGGTTCACTCGAACCGGTGCGAACCAGTAGGATTTCACCACTGCTTTAAAGACATGTGGACTCCAACTCCCAAACTTCCTCAGCCAGCTGGGTGATTTTTGGCCAGTCACCCTCTCTCAGCCCAACCTACCTCACAGGATTGTTGTTGTAGAGAAAAAAGGAGGAGGAGGAAGGAGGATTAGGTGAGTTAACAACCTTGAGTTAACAGGTAGGGTAAAAAATAAAATTAAAGAAAATATTCTGGGAATTGAAGTTGACATGTTTTAAAGTAGTTGTGGTTGAGAAACATTGTTTTAGCCTGACAAGATCAGCCGGTGTGATTAGTTCCATGGTTTAGCATATTCTGGAAATTCAGAAAATTGGGTTAAATTCAACTAATCATGGATTCCTTGTCCTCACCTTTTGGTAGAGCAGTCCCCAACAGGAAGGAAAGTAGTCTGCTGCTGTGATTTTGAAATTGCAGTTTTATGCAGGTACAAGATGGGGAAAAATGTATGGCACAGTCTGCAGACCTGTTAAGTCACTGTTTATTTGTGTGTTATTTAATTAATGACAATCAATAGGCTTTGTGCACTTAGCCAAAATACTAGTATACAAGCAGTTTAAGCACAAAGTAGGTTATGGGTAAAGATGCTGGTTAAATAGTTAAATAAAAGCAGCATAAAAAACCCACCACTTGCTAATAATTGTTAAAGCCACAAGATCACAAGGAGCATTTCGGAACAAGTCACCATCCTTCTTGCCATAAGATTACAGGGGAGTAAACGGCTGTTGTGAACAGGAGAATGGCCAGCATCATTTTATAAGGAAGGCCTCTAAAGGGTTGCTTTTAAGCTCCTGGCTTCCGAGACTTTCTTCGCTGGCACAAAGGTGTGTCCTTGACCCACCAGTTGTGCAACCTGTAACCTTATCTGCCATGTGATGACTTCATGGAATTAACAACCATCAGAAGAAAGGAAAGAAGCCAGCAACAACAGTAGGCACTGGAGCAACAGAGGTAGTGTTTATTTACTAATGCTTGGAATTAGGCTATGTCACCTAATCATGCTGGAATTGTAACCTAGCAAAATTGGGGAACGTTAGATGGGAAATTTGACATGAACATTAACAATGCAAGCATTGGCCAATATCTAAATTTTATAGGCACAAAAGGGTTTTTTCTAAACTTTGAATCTCCAGATTTTGGAAGTTTACAAAGCATATAGCCCTAGGCCAGGGATGTCAAACTCGTATCATCACAGCATTGTCATGTAACGTATTGCAATTCCCCCCTTCATTAAACCGGGTGTGGACATGGCCAGTGTGTGATGCATCTGGCCCGTGGGGCCGCAAGTTTGACACCCCTGCCCTAGGCTATGGTCCATGAAGGCTGAGTTTTGTAACTATTAGAAACTTAACAGCTTTGCTGAGTCAACCAAAATAATGAAATGTCATTATATACCGTAAGTCCCTCCCTTTTGAAAACAATGGGATTTGCATTATGACATCCTGTTCATTATCCTGCTGATTTTGACCAGGGCCAAAGGCTCTGCAAAAGTATTTTCTTTTATACAATGGGCAAATACATTTAGGAAACTAACAAATATGGACAAGTAAGTAATTCCCCTCTTCCAATCCTGCATTACTATGGTGAAACAAAACAACCTTGGTACAAACCCAACAAACCCACTTCACCAATGCATGGCACAACATAGGAAATCAAACCCATCAGGACAAAATTCAGCAGTCTATCTGCATTTGAAAGACAAAAGGTCACTCTTTGGAAGACAGCAAAGTACACATGTTGGATAGAGAATATAATTGGTTTGAAAGAGAGGTAAGAGACACCACTTATGTTAACATTGAGCAACCCTCTCTCAATAGAAGGGGAGGAATAAGACATCACCTATTTCCGGTCTACAATGCAGCTCTTGCAGCAGTTCCAAGAAGATTCCAGAAACAATTGTCCCCTGATTCAGGTGACCCTGAAATGAAAGATAAACCCTCAAGTGGCCTCACCTTAAGAGCTCTCAGGGAGAATGCTAACAACCAGATGACTGCAAAGAAAGACAATCCTTCCATTCTGCCCCCCCCATCACCATACATTCAAAACTGATCCTCCCATCCCCCTCCCATCCTGTCTCAACTGTCAGTACCTATCTTTACACACACACACACACACACACACACACACACACACACACACACCATCACAACTGATGAAGCTTCTTGGATGACAAGTGAAACATTTTCTTCTCCTTCTTCAAGGAAAAAACAGTTGCCTTTTGAAAAAGAAAAAAATAGCACTTTTGAGACAACTAGAGCTGGATGACTCAGAGTCTCCACAGACATTATGGACGTACTACCAGCCTTAAGTAATAGTGTGTGATGAGACCATAATAACTTACTGTAGGACAGTGTTTAAGGTACTGGACTGGGACTAGAGAGATCCAAATTTGTCTCAATCATGGAGTTGGTTATTCTCTCTCAGTCCAACCTATCTCACAAACTTCCTATCCTGGAAGCTATCCTGGGATCTCCCCACATGCCAGCTTGAATTCCCAGAGGAAACATTAATAAGATGCTATCCACCAGAATTGCTACTGACTAGAACCATTGCCAAGCTATTCTCAGTAACTGGATTCTGCTATTGTAGGAAGTCATAGCAGTTTGTTTGCTTTTGACTCCGTATGTTTTGTGAGGCAAATCAAGTGGGATGGCACCGGACATATCTCTACCCTCACAAAGTATCTTTATACTTCCCTGTATTTGTTCACAGCTTCATTTTTAACTATCAGCCTATACATACTGCAGTTGCTTGCTTGCCTCATGTACCTGCTTAAGGCACTATCAGGAGGTAGGTGTTCTATCAAGAATAATAGCTGGGTAGCTTGGCAACAGCTCCTCTACTTTCATTCCACAGAAATATCTGCTCATAAATTCCACAGAAATATCTGCTCATTTCTGCTTCCTGAAATGAAATGCTGAAAACAGTATGAGGTTTAACAATCACATATGGAAATATGTAGTTCTTCAGTGATCTCTAAAGGTATCACTTCTGGAAGATTAGCAAATGCTAGGTAAACATAAAAATGTGACGCAGGTCCTCCCAATCATTTGAGATATTGCAGGGGGGCCCTTAAGTAGCACTAGCCATATTTACATTAGCACTGTACCATGGGACCTCCAACTTTTTACAGAGATCCTCCGTTTTTTAAACAATAAGTTTACATTGTAGAAAGGATCATACAATCAACTTCTCCCATGCAATCTGTTCACAATGGGAGAATAGCTACCAGCAATAACATTTTTTTTTTTTTGGGTAGTCAGCAACCATGCTTTCAAGAATGGGTGTTAGATCCATCTTGCCTATGCTGATAATGGAAGGAATTCCTCTCTTGGAAGATCCATTGCAAACTGTCTAGTTCAGTGTTTTTTCAATCTTGGCAACTTTTAAGCTCCGTGGACTTCAACTCCCAGAATTCCCCCGTCAGCATGGCTGACAGTGGTTCTGTGATCTCCGCCTTCAGAGAAGACATGTGTTCTATGCCTAGACATTTCCTTTCCTTTCTTTTTTAGGATCCAGATATCTCATTCTCTGCAGAGGAGACTTTCAAGAAGTTTGATCAGTACCAGAACTGAATAAAGGAGATGAGCCAAGAGCCAAG